CATTCTGAACCCCACCAAACTTCCCACACAGAATCTCATGACCAACAGAAAATAATGTGTTTTCTGATGGTCTTTGTCAACCCCCTGACACCCCCTCACGACCCCCCCCCAGGGGTCCCGACCCCCAGGTTGAGAAACACTGATTTATATTGAATATATACGTCTTACATAATCATTCAAACCTGTACTATAGAATTCTGCCATTGTTGTTCTTACTCTTATATCTCCCATTCATTTGACTGCCCCATTTTTGTGTTTGTGTTTCAGAATAATTAATTACTCTGATGGCTGGGAAGGTAACTTTTATAACTCAGGCCACTCACAATGCAATCCTGAGACTTACTGAGAAGACAGCTTACTGACTTAGCTCTTTGGATCTTGCTCTCATGATAGGATCACAGACTATCTTATGCTAAAATTACAGACTTTTTCTATCTTGGAGACCCCGGCAAGTTGTGAGCATCTGCAACATTTGTTCTGTACTGCAGGTGTTTGACTGCAGGATCTCATCTGAATGTAAATATCCAGCTCTATTTTCCCATAAAAGAAAGGCTGCCTGCTACATTTGATAGGCACACCAGGGTGGCAGCAGAAGGGCCTAATAGCAACTGGCACAGGGCATTATTAATCTGCAAATGTCACAGAGCTCTCAGCAGGACTGGGATAATGAGACCCTGGCAGAGCCCAGACAGTAAACAAACCAGCAATGGAGAGACAGTTGAGGCAAAGCCAGAAATCAGAGACCGTGTTGAAATAATGAGCAGATGGGACCCCACTGATAGATCCTCAGTGGCTGCCCTTTTCAAGGAGTGGGTGGATGGGACACCACTTGCTTTGGCTCCAGCTCTTGAGGGGTCTTTGCCTTTTCACACTGTCAGACTCTTTGGCTGTATGCAGTTCTTTTTTAATCCCATAAATGGCACCTGATTGTCTTATTAGGCGGTGGCTTGTAACTTTCATGTCAGTGGAGTAACTAATCCATTTTGAGTATAGTGGAACTATGAAACTCATAGTTTCTTTAGAGTTTGAACTAGAACCCAGATAGGACCCATCTTCCCTTCATGGAGAGAGGATGGTCTAAAAATAAAGTGTTGTTGTTGTTGTTGGATACATAATAAGATTAGTAAACAGCAAACAAGATCACTGTGCTGCCTTTTGTATTTGATCACATGTTGGACACTTCCAAAGTGTCTAGGACTGTGTGATGTATTGGTGAGTAATCCGTGCAGATCCAAGTAGGGTGGTCTTTTGCAGTTGACGGATGGCAATTTTGTTAGCGCCATTTGTTTTTAAGTTCAGGCCAAGGTCTTTAGGCACTGCACCCAGTGTGCTGATCACCACTGGGACCACCTTTATCTACTTGTGCCAGAGTCTTTACAGTTCTATCGTTAAATCCTCATATCCTGTAAGCTTTTCCATGATGATGATAATGATCATGATGATCATAATGATGATCATGATCCCCATTGACAGAGAACTCTCATCAAGTGCCACTAGCCCAGTTAAGTCAGCCTGTTGGTCCAGCTAACCAAGTAGAATCAACTTTGGCAGTCAGCAGCCAATGTGGATGTCTTACATTGTGCAAGAAATTGTTCTAGATGGCCCCAAAGATTTCTTCAAACTCTAAATTTGAGAACATTTTTTGGAGGACAACTTCAAGAATCTCTTAGCTGGCATGGCCACTGGCTCTGTTGTCTCTAGTACAGTGTTTCCCAAACTCTGCTCCTCCAGATGTTTTGGATTTCAGCTCCCACAATTCCCTAATAGGTGATAAACTGACTGGGATTTCTGGGATTTGAAGCTCAAAACACTTGGAGGAGCAGAGTTTGAGAAACATTGCTCTGAAGCATTGCTTCTTAAACTGTGGGTCATGAAACAAAATAGGGTCCCCTTAGCTTACCTAAATGTTGGGTTTGCCAAACTTGACAGCATTAAAAAGTTTCTGAACTCCATTAATGGCTATTTTAGAGATTTACATAAACGTGCTATGCAGTGTTTACAGGGCACACTGCAGAAGAAGCTTCAGCTGTATATCATAAAAAGGAAAATCAGCCTGTTTAGCAAACCATGCAAATGCCAATTTGTTATCCACTAATACTTGATTTTTAGACTTATTTTCTATACCTATATAACAGGGTCACATAAAAATGTCATGGGCTGTAAAGGGTCATGAGTAGAAAAGTTTAAAAAGTCCTGGTCTAAAGTTTTTTAAACCGTGGGTTGCAACCCCGTATAGCAATGATTCTCAACCTGTGGGTCCCCAGGTATTTTGGCTTACAACTGCCAGAAATCCCAGCCAGTTCACCAGCTGTTGGGCTTTCTGGGAGTTGGAGGCTAAAACATCTGGAGACCCACAGGTTGAGAACCACTGCCATATGGGGTGACATAATAGAATGTGGGGGGGGTCACAAAGAAAATCCGCCACACTCCGAGGAGAGAGTTCTACTGCTGAACAATTACAAATAGTGAACAATTAAATCCCTAAAAATAAATTTTCCAAATTCCAGGTTTAAAACCCTAAACACTGTGCTACCTTTTCTCTGTCTCTTTGTGCTCCTTTCTCTGAGCCTCTCTTCACTGTTTACTTGAGGAGCCCAAACACAGTTGCAGCAATTTATCCAGCAATTTGCCATCAAGCTCCAACTCACCCCTTCTGCAATGACTGAGAAGCTGCGTTTTCTTCTTTCTTTCCTAGTTTGCTGTCCTTTTCCCTGCCTCTTTTTATTTGTGATCTTGTTGGGAATGGTTGGGGGTGTGTGTGTGTGTACGGATGTGCATGTGTGTTTGTTTTCACTTTGGCTGTTTTCCCAGGGATCTGGGGGTTTTTTAGCTCAAGAGTGTCAGATCCTATCAGACAGCTTCAAAAGCCAAGTGATTTTGGCTGGCTGTCAGGGTGGTTTTGGTGGGCTTGTTCATAAGTGTCTGGAGGGAGAGGATGCGATTAGTGGTTTTGCTGTTCAGGGGAGAACCTTAAACTGGTTTCCTTATGCTGCTGGGTTATGATAGCAACATGGGAGTTTCAGGAAAGGAAGTACAATTGAACCAGGACCAAGTTTTCTCCACAGCCACCCAAGTTAAAGACTCTAACCCCAAATTCCCTGTTGTGAAAAGGGATATTCTACGCAAATAACTAGGAAAGGATGGGCAGTTGCACAGATCCTGCTCAGTCACCTTTCTGGATTTAAAGTCAACACTTTTCTGCTTATCTTCTACTCCATAAGCATTGAAAACTTTTGTTGCTGCTCATGATATTATAGAAACTATAGTTGCCAGGGTGATGGATTCTTACATTACGTTGGGTAAATCAGAAAAAAAGCAATTGTGAATGGAGCACTGAAATGAATGAAAGTCACAATGAAAGCAGAACTATTGAATCAACAGGATTTCTATTAATGTTGACTCACCATATGGATAAATAATATAATATTTCACTGCTAAAATAATATTTTACTGCCTATGCCAATGTTGTATGTTTTCATTCATGAACCCATTTTATCCATTACTTTATTCATGCATGCCGTGTTAAACTCCATGTGAATGTAGTCATATGCACATACAAACATAGTTTTTGTATTTGGATGTTGGATAGGTGCCAAATGGGTGTCTCTATTCTTTTGTTTCTCAAAAGAATAGAGACACCCATTTGGCACCTGTCCAACATGCCCTTAAGCCACTAAGTGAAAATCATCTTATTCCCTAGAGCAGAAGTTCGCAACCATGAAAAATCTCAAAATATATTCTATCCAAAATAGGTATTTTGAGCTGCAATGTTTGCTGTGAAGGTGTGAAATCTGAATTTGGTTCAGCTGATTTATGTGGAAACTAAGACAGTAATATTGTCCCTGACCTTTTCCTAGGGGAACTTTTCCTTGACTTCCAAGAAATACCAGTTTTCTGGAACACAATTAGAAGGCCATTGCCTGAAATAGTTAGAGTTATAGAAAAAGTGGCAACCTGGGCCCAGGATCGAGTATGTAAGGCCTGGAATGGACCTGAAAATTTTAATGTTTTGGACTATTAATTTCCTTATTCTCCTTAGGCAACATGCCTGGGGATCCTGGCAACTGTAGTGAAAAACTGAGTACTTTCCTAAGATCCACCATGGGGCAAAAAAAAAGAAGCTAAAATGGACTGTTTATTGAACAGCATCTCATGGCAGGACAATGCAGCAATATATGATCTCATCACAAAGGCCAGGAGAAGCATCCCACTTTGCTGCTGGACAGAAGGGGCAGTGGGTAGAATCTCTCGCCCTCCGTGCCTCTTCCTCATGGTGACATTTCTTCCATCAAACATGGGAAGTGTCGCCCTCCCAGTGAGGGCCATTAGAGTCAGCATAACACAGACAGGCTCCCATGTTGGGAGAGAAGTGTCCAAGGTCACTTCCACCCTAGTTAGGGGTGGGACCTCCCCCAGAAGTCACACAACTGTGTGATGGCCAGTGTGGGGCTCCATCCCCAAAACAGGAGGGAAGCATCTTAGTTCGCCAAAATTGCCCCATCTGATGAGGTCCTTTGACTCCTTAATTGGAGTCTATGTTGCTGTATTGTCCTACCATATAGCATATGACACCAGTTCTGGAGGACTTGAACTAGCTGTTCTTCTGGTTTTCATGCAATGTACTGGTGATAACAGCTTGGGATCCCAATACTTGGGATCCCAGTACTTGAGGGAGCACCTCTATCTATCTGTAGCTGCCTGCCAGTTCTATTGAAGGTACCCTCCTCTGTAGGAGAATTACATTGTGGGAGGACTTGGGAAAAGCATTCTCTGGGATAGTACTTCAGATGTGGAGTTCTCTCTCTTTGGTGGTCCATTTGGTACCAACATTGAGATCATTTTGGCACCAAGTCACAACCTGGTTTTAATTGCTAAGGCATTTAATATGTATTTTAATCTTTTTAAAGGATTGTTATTATTTACTGTTTTGAATTAAATTAATTGGAAGCATTTATAATAAATATGGGATATAAATATTTTAAAATAACTTTCTTCAACAGCTGCCGTGAAGTTCTGTGTCTCCTTGCGGGTTCCCCAGACCATCCCCATGGACCTGAGGATTGGACAGCGACTTGCCAAACCTGGCCCAGATACAGCTTTGCTGGCCCTGAAGCAGACACAGCTACAGCACCAGCTTTTTCTAGCAAGCTTGCACCAGCAGCAAGTGGAGCAGCTCACCCATCCACACCTGCGGGTTAGTCTCTTGTGCTTTCTTGGGGTTGGATAGAGGCAAATGGGTGCCGTGCCCCATCCAAAAAGCAGCCAGTCTTGGGTCAGTTTAGCTTAGTTGTCTTCTGGACAGCAGAGAATTGACAGTCTCTGGGCAAGGAATTTGGTCTGAAGTGGCAAATTCTTGGTAGCACAATTTGTAGTTGTGAAACAATGGCCTCTGAACCAGGGCTGGGAAACATGTGACCACTCTCTCTACATGTTTGACTGCATTTACAATCTGCCCTAGTAAATATAGTCGATTCGAAGGGAGGTTTCACTCAGCAAGATATGAATGGCCACAGTCTTGACTCTAAACTGGAGGTTGGAAAAGTAGATTTTTGTCTGGCAGAACAGTGACCTTTATTCATTTCTGATACTCAAGCTCATTTCTTCACTCAGAATCTTTTTCATTTTCAATATGTGTCTTTTGTCATGTGCCTCATTTGGGGGGGGGGGGGGAGTGCTTTTTCAGACTGTTACTTCCAGCATGTGAGCTAGGATGATTCTGTAATTTTATGATTCTGGGAACCCACACCTTTCCCCAAGCTCTCAAAAAAGTAAGGATTTAAAAATAGAAACTCACCAAATAGCTCCTGCATGAGGATGTAACATTTCCTTCACTTTCGTAGAAATTATTGCCACATTTCTTAGGGTGTTCATTTAGTCTTTTTTTTTCTTCTCTCTCTCTCCCATACTCAGGTGCCGATGGAGCCGCCATCTCAAGAACCCGTCCCTGGAAAGCAAGAGCAGGAATTGCGACTCCTCTTGAATAAAGACAAAAGCAAACGCAGTAAGAACTATTCCTCTTTTCATCTCTGCCACCTTTCATATTAAGCTAAAATTTCTGCTTTGTGTCAAGAATTCTGATTTCTCCTTTGTTGCTTGGGTTCCAAAAAATGAACTTCTGCTGAAGGTTACCATACAGGCTTGTTGGAAGACCTAGAGACCTGTTGCAGTGGATCACACGTCAGACACTTCCCAAGTGTCTAGGACTGTGTGATGTATCAGCGAATAATACGTGCACATCCCAGTAAGGTGGCCTTCTGCAGCTGGCAGATGGTAATCTTGTCAGCGCCGATTGTGTTTAAGTGCAGGCCAAGGTCTTTAGGCACTGCACCCAATGTGCCGATCACCACTGGGACCACCTTGACTGGCTTGTACCAGAGTCTTTGCAGTTTGATCCTCATATCATGAAAGCTTTTCCAGTTTCTCTTCAATCCTGCTGTTACCTGGGATTGCAACACCGAACATTGGCAATCCATACTTTGTTTTTCAACACGATTGTGAGGTCAGAGTATTATGCTCCAAAACTCTGTCTGTCTGAATCCAGAAGTCGCAGAGTAGCTTGACGTGTTCATTCTCTGTAACTTTTTCCAGCTTGTGATCCCACCAGTTCTTTATTGCAGGCAGATGGTATTTGTGGCACAAGTTCCAATGAATCATCTGAGCAATGGTGTTATGCCTCTGCTTGTAGTCTGTCTGTGTGATCTTCTTGCAGCAGCTGAGGATGTGATCTATTGTTTCATCTGCTTCCTTGCAGGGTCTACACTTGGGATCTGTTGTTGACTTTTCAATTCTGGCTTTGATGTCCTTGGTTCTAATGGCTTGTTCTTGGGCTGCCAGAATCAGGCCCTCTGTCTCCTTTTTCAAAGTTCCATTTGTGTATGATGATGATGTTGTTGTTGTTGAAAGTAGCCACTTCCAAGTTTTGGACAAAAGCCAAATGCACCTTGTGGAATTTTGAGCTTCTAGCAGCCCCATCTTCTTTGGAACTATTCCCTTTTCCCTTCATCCAAACTTTCCACTGTTGTTGAAGGATAATCAAAAATGCTCTATCAATATTTAGGCATATCTTGTATGACAGCCTGATAAATTATGACTGATACAGACAGACATTGTCTTTTATTATTCCAGATAATGAGTGTTTCCTAGAGTATACAGTGACACAGATTATGGGACAGGGGACGAATTACCTTTGGAGGCCTTTTAAATATGTCTTTAGGGTGAGATGCCAGTCCACATGCAGTGAGGGGTTAACTAGTCAATGGGAGAAGATGGAATTGAGCCAAAGTCCCTCCTTTTCTTCCAGTGTTGTTTTTCTCAGGCCTTCCTATCACTAATTCCATCTCTTCCTGTCTGTCTGGCATGCAGGGATCACGATAAGGGTTGGCTGAACATTGTTCAAACGGTATGTGTGTGTGTCTGTGTGTGTGCACACATACTCTCCTCCTCACCCCAAACGGATGGAAGTCATCACATAGCCAAAAAAGAGGGGGGCACAAGCATAAAAAGATTTGTCAACATATGTGTCATATAATAATCATTGCCTGCAATGCTGATCTGAGATAGACGTGTTGCTCTTCTATCACACTGCATCAGTAAAAAACCTAGAATGAGATATAGGTGTGTCCATACCATTCATATTGTACTTCCCTAATGGATGTTTTAAATTCATTTATTCCATCCATTTTTTGATAATACTGGGCCTCAAGCCTGCTCACAAGAATTAAACAAGTACAAAGTGACCTACATACCAGGATCCCTGTAAAAACAAATAACAGTTATTTTAAAAGTACAGTATAAACCCCGTATTGCAGGGTACATGTTCTGAAACTTGCATGTATAATAATGAACCCTATTGAAATGACTGACTGCAATCCCAAGAATAAATGGATTCATGTTGGAGGACCTAGAAAATGCCTAGAGAAGAATATTTTGTTAGATGTGTATAAATGTAATCACAGATACCTGCCCTGTGGATCTGGGGGCTCATACTGCCATCCATAGAACTGAAATTATTTAAATCACATTGAAGGAAAGAAGATAAAAACAATCACTCAAACACCATCAGAGTCAGTTCATTGGTCAGCAGAAGATGAGCAGAAAGGGAGTCCTTCTAGCCTCTCTAGTAAGGGAAGGACCAGCTGCTGAAAAGACACACTTTCCTGAGTTCCCACTAAACTGGGAGGATGATGGGACTGTGAGACACCTCTCTATAGACATTAGCACTTGAACAGGCTCATATTCAGGATAGCATCACCTCAAAACTCATCAAGAATGTTTTTAAAACAACAAAATATAACAGCTAAATCCTCAGCCTGTTTATAGCAGGGCTTCTTCTCAAACCAGAATGTCTAGGATCGTTTTCTGATGTACATTAATGTACTGAACTGTTCACTGATTTGCAGAAAGGATGAAGTTTTATATGGCAAGAAAAGCTGAATGAGAATGAATGTATATTCCTTAGATGAGAGCTTCTCAACCTGGGGGTCAGGACTCCTGGGGGGGTTGCGAGGGGGTGTCAGAGGGATCGCCAAAAACCATCAAAAAACAGTATTTTCTTTTGGTCATGGGGGTTTTGTGTGGGAAGTTTGGCCCAATTCTATCGTCAGTGGGGTTCAGAATGCTCCGATTGTAGGTGGACTATAAATCCCAGCAACTATAACTCCCAAATGTCAAGGTCTATCTTCCCCAAACTCCATCAGTGTTCACATTTGGGCATATTGAGTATTCGTGCCAAGTTTGGTCCAGATCCATCATGGTTTCAGTCCACAGTGCTCTCTGGAGGTAGGTGAACTACAACTCCAAAACCCAAAGTCAGTGTTCGCCAAATCCGCCCAGTATTTTCAGTTGGCCATGGGAGTTCTGTGTGGCAAGTTTGGTTCATTTCTATTGCCAGTGGAGTTCAGAATGCCCTTTGGTTGTAGGTGAACTATAATTCTCAGCAACTACAACTCCCAAATGACAAAATCTAACCCCCCCCCCTCCCCAAATCTCACCAGTATTCCAATTTGGGCATATCGGATAATGGTGCTAAATTTGGTCCAGTGAATTAAAATACACCCAGAATATCAGATATTTATATTAAAATTCATAATTGTAATGTAAATATCTGATATGCCAGATGTATTTTAATTCAGTAGCAAAATTACAGTTATGAAGTAGCAACAAAAATCATGTTACGGTTGGGGATCACCACAATATGAGAAACTGTATTAAGGGGTCACGGTATTAGGAAGGTTAAGAACCACTGCCTTAGGTAAATGCAGATTTGCATATAATTAGCATATTTTGTGGAATTATATTTCTCCTAGCTATAGAAAAATGCAAAACTTACATAAAGCTCATGAGCTCTGACTATAAAGATTTTGTTGCATCTAATAGCTTTTGATGGCATACATTTTCCTCAAGAGCCCAGCACTGAAGCCATAACCTAAGAGGTCTATCACATTCAGCAGCAAGGAGAAGAAATTGATGACCCATCTAGATTTTCTAGTTTTGCCAAACAGAACTAAAAGAACTAGATGTGTATTTGTTTCTACTCTTTGCACTTGGCAACATGGCGTTCTGGATAATGTGAGCAAATATGTCACAAGCTTGGGAGACCAACCTCAGGTCAAGGAGTGCACTCTGGCCATGTTGCATCTCTCATTGAGTCATGGTAAGGGTGCAAAGGGATTCCGTGATCTATAGAGCTCACTTCACAGTCCTGTGACAGTATATCCTGTTCCTCAAACATTCCTGGAAGATGCCCTCCAAACCAGGCTTTCTGGCACTTCTGCATTTTATATTTTATTGAAGTTTCTGGACCTCAGGTGTTGTTCTACTACAACTTCTGGTAATATCAGAACCAGTGGTGATGGTTAGCAGGAGCTGTTCTGTAGAACTTTGAGCAACTTTGCTTTTTTGGATCCGTTGAAGAATTGAGGCATATGAAGCTTAAAAAAAAACCAAAACCTTTCCAAGCACTTATTTATTTATTTATTTACAATATTTATATATTGCCTTTCTCACCACTGGGGGGACTCAAAACGGTTTACACATAAATAATGGCAAAATTCAATGCCTTACATTGGGCACTGATATGATGCCAATACAAACAATTACAATAGTAAAACCACAATTAAACATAAATCATAATTAAAACAATACATCAACAAGCATTAAAACAATAAAACAGTCTTGTCAGTCAAATCGCCATTCCAGTCAATGTCCCTCTAATGCTACATACATCTTCTGTCCGAAGGCCTGGTCCCAGAACCATTATTTTAATTTTTTTCTAAAAGCCAGGAGGGAGGGAGCGGATCTTACCTCATTTGGGAGTGTGTTCCATAGGCGGGGGGCCACAGCCGAGAAGGCTCTGTCTCTCGTCCCTGCCAGATGTATTTGTGCTGTTGACGGGAGCGAGAGCAGGGCCTTCCTGGATGATCTTAGATTATGAGGTGGGAAGTAGGGTTATTGCAGGCTATAACATCTAGAGCACTGTAGGAATCATGTGAATTAGAGTTGTGACTCACAGCCAGTATAGGCCCACTGTAAAGAATTCTGGGAGTTGCCAGCCAGTGTCTGGAGAGCCCATCTCCCTTGCCGAGATAGACTGTTTTCTCCATTCCTGCATTTCAGAATACTGCAACTGCTGCTTGCCACCATTTTTACTCTGTGCAGCTGAAGAATGAAGCCTGGAGTCATTGGATGGCAATTTTAGGTAATTAGAAAAGAGGTGCTACCTGGTGCTCCTAAGCCATCTTCAATTATTCCAGATTTTCCAAGGGGCACAGGATCAAGACCTAAGAATTAGCAAACGTATTGGCTACAGTCACACATAGGCCAAGTGAAAGATAATGTTAGAGAAAGCCACATTGATGGTTCTGGAGTCACATTGCCTTGGAGACATTAAGTCACGTTTGAGAGCTGTAGAGATGCTTGAGACACAGAACATCTTGCCTCAGTTAAGTGGAATGAACTGCATAGCCCTTTGAGTTCTCTTGCATTTTTGTGACTCATCACTAT